TTTTCCCAGTCAGTGGCTTCCCTTTTTACCCTACTGGAGAAGTTTTTGGATGTGCATAGGGATTTGAGTCTTAGAAGGTCCCATTCATCTATCTGATGACAGACTAAAAAAAACTCAAATGAGGAAGTGATCTTAAAATCATGTCATCTAATCCCTTCATTTTACAAATGAGAATGAGACACAGAACCATCAACCATTCCAGTTAGGTGGTGATGGCAGGGTCTGGATTCTAATTCAGACTTGGCAGTGCATAGAACAAGATTATAAAATTATACAGATTTTGTATAGCAGTGAAAGAGTTTTTCTTTTACTTTTCAAGGAGAAGAGTGAATTGAGGGGGAGGAGGTGGGCAGGGAGAAAAGTGCAACAATGATTGAATCGAAACCCTAAGTCTCTGTAAACTTTCATTAAAATTAATTTTTTAAAATTATACAGATTTTTTTATTTAATAATTTTAGCTTCACAAATCTACTGAATAGAAATAATCCAAAATAAAAAGACAGGCAATGTTCATAAAAGTTTCTACAACCTTACTGCAGATTATTCAAATACCAATATTAAAAGTTAAGAAAATTTTATATATTTATCTAACTGAATCCTACAGAATCAAGAAACATTTGTTGAAGATTACATCACTTCTTGCCAGTAGGCCACCAGAGCTCCCTACATCACAATATATAATTAAAATACAGAAAGCACTTAGCACTATTTGGTAGGTATCATGATATACCTACCAACTGCTGTTAGGTGACGCTATGAACAACAGATCTGAACCTTACCCTATTTTGTGCCGGCCTCATCATCTCTGAGCCCATTGTTGCTGTCACTCTGTCAATCCATCTCATTGAAGGTCTCTCTCTCCTTGGCTGACCCTCCACCTTTCCTAGCATGATGTCCCTTTCCAAGGAGCAACCTCTCTCACCTAATAATATGTCTAAAGCACATGAAATGAAGCTTGGCCCTCTTTGCCTCCAAGGAACACTGACTGCCCTTTTTGGTTTTTTTTTTTGTCTTTTTTTTATACCCCCAAACCCTCCCTAACCTCCAAGCCCACCCCTGACTGCCGTTTTTATAAGACATTTCTGTTTATTCTTTTGGCAGTGCATGCAATATTCTGTGCTCTTTTCCAACACCACAACTCAAAGGCATCTGTTATTTTTCTGTCATCCTTATTGATTGTACAGCTCTCAAATGCCTAACAGGTGACTGAAAAGACCATGGGCTGAATCAGGTACACCTTAGTCTTCAAACTCATGTCACCACTTCTCAGTAATTTGAAAAAGTCTCTGAAGGTGGTGGACTTTCCCAATGAAATATGTCATCTCACCTGACTTCTGGTGCCAAGGATGTTGATTGTGGATCCAAATAAGATGAAATTGTTGACAATTTCAATCTTTTTTTTTTTTACTTTGTTGTTGTTGTGTGCTGTTGAACTGGATCCGACCGGCATAGGAAATTGCCCCTCCTTCTCTAGCAGAGCATCTGGTAGATTTGAACCACACACCTTCAGGACTGCAGCACAGCTTCTTGCCACTAGGCTACCCAATTTCCATCTTTTCTCCAATTATCATGATGTTGCTTATCAGTCCAATGGGGAACAGTTTTGTCTTCTTGATGTTGAGATGTAATCTATATCGAATACTGTAGTCATTGCTTTTTTTTTTTATTAATTTTAATGAAAGTTTACAGAGACTTAGGTTTTCCAGTCATTCACTGTTGCACTTTTCTCCCTGCACACTCCTCCCCCACAATTCACTCTTCTCCTTGAAAAGTAAAGGTCTTTCATTGTTATGCAATCCCTCCCCCCAAGTCCACTCCACGGTGCAGCCTTCATTCTGGACTCCTGTCATGACAGTAATACCCAATCCTATATTCCTTTTAAACAGTTCTCTCCCTCATCTGTTTCAATGCAGTATACATCCTTCCTCCGCTCTTTTTCTATCTTCCCTCAACTCCGATGTCAGTCTCGTTTTACAACAGTGGCCCTATCCAATATTTGTCCTTTTATGACTGTGATATTTCACTCAACATAATGTCCTCCAGAGTAATCCATTTTGCATAATATTTCATGAGTTTTTTGTTTTTCAATGCTGCATAGTATTCCATTGTGTGCATATACCAGAGCTTCTCTATCCATTTGTTTGTTGACGGGCACTTGAATTGTTTCCAGCTCTTTGTTATTTGAGAACAAAGCTGCAAGAAACATGAGTGTGCATATATCTGCTTGGGTAGCAGTTATGGTTTCTTTAGGGTAAATTCCCAGTAGTGGAATTGCTGGGTCAAATGGTATCTCTACTTACAACTTTTTGAGAAAGCGCCACACCACCTTCCATAGTGGTTGCACCATTTTACACTCTCATCAACAGTAAATAAGGATTCCAGTTTCTCTGCAACCTCGCCAGCATTTGATGTTTGCTGTTCTGGTAAATTTTGCTATTCTTACTGGGGTAAGATGATATCTCATAGTTATTCTGAGTCATCTTTTGCAGCAAGTATTTCATGTCCTCCTCACTTTCAGCAAGCTACGCTGTGTCATCTACATAACCCAGTTTTTCTTATTTTTTTCTTTTAATTTTTTTTATTATTTTGTTTGCGTGTACCGTCAAATCAGATCTGACTGGTACAGGAGGATATTGCGCCTCCTTCTCCGGCAGAGCATCTGGTGGATTCGAACCGTGTTCCTCTGGGATTGCAGTGCAGCTTCTTGCCACTAGGCCACCAGAGCTCCCCTTTCTTATTTTTTTTCAAATCATTGTGGCACCTTTTCTCCCTCCCCCCTCCCTGAGCCCACCCTGTAATGCACCTCTTGTTCCACATTCTTGTCATATGTATAATGCCTAATCATATATTCATTTTGGGCAGTTCTTCTCCTCATCTGTTCTATTGCAGTATTCATCATCTATCTACTCTTTCCCATTCTCTCTCCAATCCCCAATCCATTCTGTCCTATTTTGTGTCTGTCCTTTTGTGACTGAGATATTTCACGCAGTATAATGTCTTCCAGGCTCACCCACGTCCTGTAATGTTTTATGAGTTCACTGTTTCTCAATGCTGCATAATATTCCATTGTGTGAATGCATCATAGTTTTTCTATCCATTCATTTGGTGTTGGGCATTTGGGTTGCTTCCATCTATTTGCTGTTGTGAACAGCACAGCAATAAATATGGATATGCATACATCTGTTTAAGTTGTGGCTCTGGTTTCTTTAGGGTATATTCCCAGTTGTGAAATTGCTGGGTCAAATGGAATATCTATTTCCAACTTTTAAAGAAAGCACCAGATGGTCTTCCCAAGTGGCTGTACCGATATACACTCCCACCAGCAGTGACTAAGAGTTCTAATATCTCCACAATCTCACCAGCATTTGCTATTTGCTGTTCTGTTGAACTTTGCTATTGTTGCGAGGGGTAAAGATCCCATAGTTGTTTTGTTAACCCATTTGTTGATGAATCTTGCTCCAATCCTAATGCTGCAATCTTCTTCATAGAATCCAGCTTCCTGAATGATTTATTCAGATTAAATAGGTGGAGAAAGAATATAATAACCCTGACTCATACCTTTCCTGATTTTAAACCATGCAATGTTCCTTTGCTCTATTTGAACAACAGCTTCTTCCTCTACGTAATGGTTTTCTAAGAGCATAATTAAGTGTTCTGGAAGTCTCCCATTCTTCTCAATGTTAGCCGTAGTTCATTATGAACCACAAAGTCAAATGCTTTTGCACAGTTAATTAAACACTAATAGAAATTCTTTTGGTATTGTCTGTTTTTAGCCAGAATCCATCTAACACCAGTATTGATACTCCTGGTGCCATAGCCTATTCTAAACCCAGCTTGAACAGCAGTTCTCTGTCAATATACTGTTCTATATGCTTTTAGACAATATTCAGCAATATTTTGATTCCATGTAATATTGCTGTTCAATAGCTTCCAAATTCTATTGGATCACCCTTCTTGGAAATGGAAACAAATATGGATCTCGTCCAGGCAGGTGGCCAAAAGGTGTCTTCCAAATTTCCTGGCATAGACTGGTGAGCACAGCCAGGGCTGCATTTGTTATGCATCAACTGGTATTTCGTCAATTCCTGGGGCCTTATATTTTACCAGAGTCTTCACTGTTATGTATCAACTGGTATTTCATCAATTCCTGGGGCCTTATATTTTACCAGAGCCTTCAGTGCAGCTTGATCTTCTTCCTTCATTATCATTGGCTCTTGTTCACATGATATTTTCTCAAATTTTTCAGTGTCAATCAATCCTTTTTAGTAGAGTGATTCTGTATATTCTCCCCATCTTCTTTTGATGCTTCCTAGATCATTCAAGATTTTACCCATAACTTGAGGCTTAAATTTGTTTTTCAGTTCCTTTAACTTTAGAAACGCCAAGTTAGTTCTTCTCTTTATTTTACAGCTTCCAGTTCTTTGCACATTCCATTATAATACTTTTCTTTGTCTTCCTGAGATTAAAAATCTTCTATTCATCTCTTTTACTTTAGCATTTCAACCATAAATATAAAAATGTTTTTCAATGTATTTCAATGTAAAAATGTTCTGTTTACATATACCAAGAATGTTCAAAAGTGAACTGAGAATTCACTAACTACACGGAAACTGATTTAACTACACAGAAAGTTCAGGGGTCGTTCATTGTTGCCTAACTGTGTAACTAAAAATTGACACAAACAACAAAGCGGTTGTACTCTGGCTAGCTGATTCTTGCTGTAGTCAGTAGGGGGCACTGGAGTACTGACTGAGAAAAGGATGCGGTGGGGGCGGGGGAACACTCCAAAGCTAAACGGAAAAATACACACTGTCCTCCCGTAGATTCTGAATCCAATCAGCAAGCCTACAGCACAGAGTATAACTGCCCCGTAGAGTTTCCAAGGCTATAAACTCACAGAAGCAGATTGCCACATCATATCCCCCTGGAGTGGCTACGGGGTTCGAATTGTTGGCCTTTTGGTTAACCACTGCAGCATCAGCAACTTTTGTTTCCCTGTAAAAAGGTCCACTGGCATTGGCTTGGTTCTGACTCATTGAGACGCTGCTGGCTGTCTGGCAGAGTCGAACGGCCCTTAGGGGTTCCCAGGCTGCAAATCTTTATGGAAGCAGATTGCCTCACCTTTCCCCTCATAGTAGTTGGTGACGCAGAATCATCAACCTTTCAGTTAGCAGCTGAGTGCTTTAGGAGCCTCGAGGATGCCGATGTAAAAAGGAAGAGCTTCTAAAAGAATGGGAGGAGAACTCAAAGCATTTCTCGAGTGTGTTTATATTGCTAATTTCAATCCCTAGAGTTTGTCTTTGCTAGTTTGAGGATCTTAGTTGAGTTACATAATCTCTTTCACCTAAATTCTCTCAGCTGTAAAGCTTACCTATTTCTTCAGTTAAAATGAGACAATTTTTACCTACTTCACATCGGAGCATTTGCATGGTGCCCAGTATCACAGATGACAATGTGTGGCCATGGCTCCTGTTCCAGGAAGGAGAGAACCACAGTCCTGAGCGGGGCAGCTGCCTTACCTTGTGAACCCGTCTGCTTTGTCCTGACCTGAAGAGCCTTGTTCTCCATGCAGACCTTTCCCATTCGGCCTTGAATCATCACATTTAGAGCCACCTAAGAGGAAGGAGAAGGGATTAAAATGTAATTATACACAATTTAAACTGTATGTAACCATTTCTCAACATGTTATCTAGGATGATAGTCCACATTATATCTCAAACACAGGAAAGGCCTCTCTCTGCTGTTGTCTGGGTGAAGTTCTCACAAAACATACAAAGAAGAAAACAGTACTTAGTCTGAGTGTCTTTGTTGCTGATAGCAAACTATTCTAGTTAGTCTAACTCCCTCTTACCGGTGACGGAGGATGTTTCAGGGAAAATAACACTATGAGATGTGCAAGCCTAGGTCTATCACCAACTCAACCATCTATTATCCTTTGACTCTGGGCAAGTCACTTGACCTCTTTTTAATCTCAATTACCAAATCAGTCCTGCCCTCCTCACAGGTTTATTATGGGAATAAAGTGTGCTGACATGTGAGCAAGGGCTTTCAAAGTCACAAACCGCATTATAAAACATAAGATAATGATCTCACTACCATGCACTGCCAGTGAGACTTCAATTCCAAAGCCCCAGAAGCCAAGGGTCAGAGATCTAAAGCTGGAAAGGATCAAAGTGCTTAGAGAACAAGAAATGTTTGTCTCAACAAGCTGCCTTGAAAACTAACAGCCTGAGGGGGCTCTCAATAAAGAAATATTTGGAAAAAATATTTTTTGTCTTTTCTTGTGATTTGAGTGAAAGATTACAATTATATAACATTGTTATGTGCCGTCGAGTCGTTTCCGACTCATAGCGACCTTATGCACAACAGCCCTAAACCCTACTCTTGCGCCAACCACACCGCCTCTGACACACCCATACCGATTACCCCAGTCACCGAATCAATCCATCTCATAGAGGGTCGTCCCCTCCTGCGCTGTCCCTCCACCCTCCCAAGCATGATGTCCCTCTCCAAGGACCCGTCTCTCCTGGCAACATGTCCAAAGTATGTC